TGTACTTGTGCTGTACTTATCAGTGACTTCAGTATGACTACATTGTGAGCTCAAAAGCTGAAATCATGTCTCTCATTAGTACTTATCATGTTACATGGCAGGAATAGATACCAATAAACATTGAGTGGAAAAAAAAGTCCTAAGAAATACATTAAAAAGCCCCGCTCATGAACATTCTGCAAAACTGGTATGTCCTCTTCAAAAATGTCACTGCCATGAATGACAAAGAAAAGGTAAAGAACTATATCAGATTAAAGAAGACTAAATACACATGACAAATAAATGCAGTGCATGATCCTAGACAACACTTGAGATTAAAAAAAAGTATATAGGAAATTATCACAACAAATTTGAATATACACTGTATATTAAATGACTGCATTTTCTCATTGGCAAAGTTCCTGATTTTGTTAATTGTACAGTGGATACCTAAGAAAATGAACTTTTCCTTTGTTCTTAGGATATATACACACTGAAGTACTTAAGGGTCATAACAGTTGAAACTTTCAATGTTTCAGCGTTAATAGTAAACATATCAATCAATGTGTGTGTGTGTGTGTCTGTGTGTGTGTAGTCATAGGATGTAAAGTACAGCATGAGGAATATATTCAATGGTATTGTAGTAGCTATGTACAATATTACATGCATAGACTTGTTGAAGTTATCACTTTGTGAGGTGTTCTAAATGTCATGTTGTTTAGTACACCTGAAACCAATAAGACATAAAAAAATACCAAACCAGGAGATTTCTGGTGAACACGGCAGGGTAGGTAATCGCTGTGCACCTCCTCTCACAACCACATCAAAATTAAAACTAAACTACAGGACGACCATCGAGAACCGCCTGAACTCTACCTGAACAGAAGTCCTACAACTAAGGACAAACAGAAGAATCCACCTGGAGACTGGTAGGGGTGGATACTCAGAACAAGCTGGTCCCTCACCCACATGTGGCAGTTAAAAATTGCCAAGGGAAGGGCGGCCAGGTGGCTCAGTTGATTAGAGAGTGAACTCTGAGCAACAGGGTTGCCAGTTTGACTCCTGCATGGGATAGTGGGCCACATCCCCCGCAACTACATTGAAAACGGCGACAGGACTTGGGAGCTGAGCTTGTGTCCTCCACAACTAAGACTGAAGGACAACAAATTGACTTGGAGCTGATCGGTCCTGAAGAAACACATGGTTCCCTAATAAAGTTTAAAAAAATAGAATACATTAAATGGAATCTAGAGAAGATCAAATGGAGCAGGGGACAGAATCAGCAATTTAGAAGTTAACGTAAGAGAAGACACCCAATCAGAACAACAAAAAGAAAAAATAATCCAAAAAAATGAGGATAGTTTAACGGGCAACATCAAGTGTACCAACATTTGCATCATAGGAGTCCCAGAAGGAGAAGAGACAGAGCAAGCAATTGAAAACCTATTTCAGAAAATAATGATGTAAAACTTCCCTAACCTGGAGAAGGAAATAGGCATAGACGACTAGGAAACACATAGTACAAATGACATGAACCCAAAATGGCCCTCACCAGTACACATCATAATTAAAATGCCAAAGGTTAAAGTCAGAGATTCTTAAAAGCAGCAAGAGAAAAGCAATTAGTTACCGTATTTCCCCATGTATAAGACGCACCTTTTTTCAAAAAATGTGGGGTCTAAAAACTGGGTGCATCTTATACAGCGGTTGTAGATTTCAAATGCCACAGATGGAACTGAGGAACTGAGGACGAGGCAATATATGAAGACAGTGATACGTCATCAGACACAGATGAGAACAAGCTAATAGTTGGGAGTTTTGACAGTGATGAGGAGTTGTATGCATTTTATGATGAATAAAATTGAATTCAGTAACTTTATATAACACCTTTTTTTCCAAATTTTGTGCCCCAAAATTAAGGTGCGTCTTATTCATGGGGAAATATATGGTACATATAAGGGAGCTCCCATAAACTGTCAGCTCATTTCTCAACAGACTTTTCAGGCCAGAAGGATTGGCATAAAATATTCAAAGTGATGAAAAAGCAAGGACCTACAAAAATCAATATTATTCTACCCAGCAAAGCTATCATTTTAGAATCAAAGGACAGATAGAACACAGTGGAAAAACTGAGGGTTGCTTGATGGGAGGGGATGGGGATGATGGAGAAGGGAAAGGGATGAGACAAAAAGACAACATAAACTGGTAACTACAATATGGCCTCAGGGATATAAAAGACAGTCTGGGGAATATAATCAATAATGTTGTAAATATTATTTAGGGGTCCAGACAGACTCATGTCTTGGTAGGGAGACCACGTCATAGTCGGTGTAGAGGCCAGACCACCGCACTGTATTTCTGAAGCTGATGATGAATAATAATGTATGTCCACTATAATTATATATACATATAGTCACAAGGACGTGGAGTAGAGTGTGGGAATGGAATCAATGGAATTGTAATAGATAAGCATGATATCGGGGTTGGGAGGGCAGTAGATGGGGAAGGGGGTTGTTTCTGTGTGAAGGGTGAAAAGGATAACTGTTGCATTGTTCTGTACACCTAAATATAACAACAAAAAAAAGAGGACAGATAGAGCTTCCCAAACAAGAAAAAGCTAAAGGAGTTCATCAATATCAAACCAGTATTACAAGAAATGTTAGACTTCTTTAAAAAGAAAAAAATAAATTCAAAATATGAAGATGGGAATAACTACATATCAACAACCACTTTAAATGAAAATGGATTAAATGCTCCAATCAAAATATAGTGTGGCTGAATAAATAAGAAAACAAGACCCTTACATAGGCTGCCTACATGAGACACACTTCAGATAAAAAGAAACAACCACACTGAAAGTAAATGTATGGAAAAAGATATTATGTGTTAATTCAAATGGAAAAAGAAGCTGGAGTAGCAATACTTATACCAGACAAAATAGACTTTAAAGCACAGGCTATACAACAAGAGACAAAGAAGAACCCAGTAATCCACTTCTGGGTATTTCTCTGAAGAAACACAAAATACTACTTTGAAGGGATCTGTGCATTCACATGATCATTACAGGATTATTTAAAATTGCCAAGATGTGGAGGCAGCCTGGGTGTCTGTTGATGGAAAAATGGAAAAAGAGGAGATGGTACTTATATACAATGGAATATTGCTTGGCCATGGAAGGAAATGGGTTCTTGCTATCTGCAGTGGCATGGATGGACCTGGAGTGTACTGTGCTGAGTGGACTATGTCAGACACAGAAAGACAGGTGCAATGTGATTTGGCTTACAGGTGTAATCTAAAGAACAAAATAAACAAATCAAAAACCAAAACAGAAAGAGAAATATTTTAACATATCTGATTTGATTTCACTATTTTTGTAAGTTAAATGATTCGCCTACAATCACACAAATTATGGCAAAGCTGGTAGTAGAAATAAGCCTCAGCGTATTTCATACAAATAATTATGTTACAAATAATTATGCATTTAAAAGGTCTCTATAGAAGTATCTGAACATTATTAGGCTGGTGGTTGAAGTACTTACCCGTAAAAACAAAAAATACTTTCTTATTTTTTAGTTCAATATAAATTTGATCCAATTTATTTCTGCACCTGATAGTCTGTAAGACAGACATTTGAGGTCTGGACTATTCAATACATTCAAATAATCTTTATATCTGAACTGATATTAAAGTACCAATAATGTTACTCTTATATTAAAAATATACTATTGCACAAAACAAATACAGCATAATGTGCATGCTTAATGGATAACATACCTCCTTCCAGCTCTTTAATGACCTCTAGTTTTGGCACTCGCTTCCCCTTGACATCAGGACCAACTCCACGCTCACGCAGAGTCTTTGGATAAGCCACTTCCTTATAACTAGCTCCCAGGATAGGCCCTTGCAAATAAAAACATTATCAATTTAAGAAACAAAATATGAGCTATGAATAAGGAAGTAAGATTCATTCCCTCAGTGTTATTAAACGAAACCCTGAGGCTACTGTGGTAATAAATGCAATGCCTGAGAATCGAAAGAGCATTACTTTAGGAGGCTATTACCAGAAACTGGAAAGCAAGGTTATATATGATCCTCTTCCTTTCCCAAGACTGCCCTCACACAACTTAGGTGCTTTGTGCTTATCTGTATTGTACTTGTGCTGTACTTATCAGTGACTTCAGTATGACTACATTGTGAGCTCAAAANGCTGTACTTATCAGTGACTTCAGTATGACTACATTGTGAGCTCAAAAGCTGAAATCATGTCTCTCATTAGTACTTATCATGTTACACGGCAGGAATAGATAACAATAAACATTGAGTGAAAAAAAAAGTCCTAAGAAATACATTAAAAAGCCCCGCTCATGAACATTCTGCAAAACTGGTATGTCCTTTTCAAAAATGTCACTGTCATGAATGACAAAGAAAAGATAAAGAACTATATCAGATTAAAGCAGACTAAACACACATGACAACTAAATGCAGTGCATCATCCCAGACAACGCTTGGGATAGAAAAAAAACGGTATAAAGGAAATTATCACAATCTATATGAATATACACTGTATATTTAATGACTGCGATTTCTCATTGTCAAAGTTCCTGATTTTGTTTATTGTACAGTGGTTACCTAAGA